CTAAATTGTGTTTTGACCTCTAACTTGAACTGGAATTTCTTATGGCAGCATGGTCTATATTTAGTGCTGTGACAAACTGTTTCCAAATCTCCTAATACCACATTTGTAATACAGTATACCATGTGATAAACACTTCTGAGCTTTGACAATGAAAGAAAGCTTTCACCAATTTTAAGTGCAGAAAAGATGAATGATAGGAATATAATTTCTAAAATTTGTAATGGTACACTTGTCAAATTCACACTGTGAATAATCTTCAAAGAACAAGCCCAAAATTAAGAAATTCCATCATTGTTTATAGTTAAAATTTCCCAAGTTTCAACAGAAATTTAGCTAAATTTTCAAACTCAGAGTTAAGAGATTGAGAAAATGTTACGATGTTCAGACCTACAGTGTTTGCTATTTATGATCAAATGGTGATAAAATTGCAAGAGCATGAATTACCTGGCCTTTAATTAGCATTAAATATTTGGCAATTAAAAAAAAGGAAGAGAGAGGATAAAAGAAGGAAAGGAATAAAGGTGGGAAAGAAGAGAAAGAAAAAAAAAAGGGAAACAAGGGAAGGAAATTGCTAGTTTTCCAAAGTCGGTCTTTGTTTTCCATTCTCATCAGCGATGTATGTGTGGGAGTTTCAGTTGCTTCATGTCCCAACCAACACTTAGGCTTTTTAAGTTGGAACTGTTCCACCACCTGTGGGGTGATACGCTTATGATTTTAATGTGTTTTCCTAATGACTAAAGATGGCAAACATCTTTTCATGTGCTTATTTGTCACAGGTACATCTTCAGTGGAGCATCTGTTCATATCTTTTGCCCATTAAAAAATACAGCCTTCAAAACACTCCTATTTTTCATATCTGCCTCCTTCCCCTACCCCTGGGAACTCTTCTCTAGTTAATTCTCATTTTATCTGATCTAGACTCCCTGTCTCCAGGCCCTTACCCTGCCACCTCCCTGCCTCTCCCACAGTGCTACCAGAAACATCTTCCAGTGTCTAGATGTGCTGATGTGTCATTCTCTTGCTCAGACAAGTGCAGTGGGCCCTGACAGGCTCTCCATCCTCCCCGAGGGTGCCTCCTTCATGTGCTTCTCACCTGTTTTATTCCAGAGCCTCCCATTCCCCCTTTTGTTTAATTTGTTTGTTTTTCACCAACAGGGGACTAAATGCAGACCCAGGAAGCCTCCCTGTTCTTTCACTCCTGTGGCCTCTACAGGTATGAATGGCCTCTACCCAGGTTATTTCCCAAGCAGACCTGTTGGGATCTCTGTCCTGAGTAAAAGAACCTAGCCCATGGCCCCTCTCTGTATTGTTTTAAAATTTTAAATAAAACTACAAAGTATAACATAACTACCCAGCTTTCTCCCTTGGGGTAAGGCAACTCTGGATTTAGTACCCATTCTCTGTTCAACTGCCCCATTCAGTGTGAAGAAAGTCATCAGATCTCAGTGGGGCTCATGAACTCCTTGTGCAGCCCCCCACCCCCCAGCAATGTTGGCAGAGAAGTGTGGAAGACCCTGCCCTGGGAATAGAGGCCTTTGGTGCTTGCCGAGAGCTCTCCATGGTCCTGCAAGTGCCGCTGTGCACAGCGCAGATTCCAAAGACTGGCCTTCCTCATTGTCCATTTTCTCCTGTTCTATTTATAACATCCTAGCTTTCCTTTCCTCAGAATCTACACTTCATGGTCCATCTCTGTTTTAAACTTTTTAAAATACATAAAACTACAAAGTATAACATAATCACCCAACTTAAATATTACTTGAAAAAAAGATTTGATATATTTGCAGACATCTATCATCTATCTATCTATCTATCTATCTATCTATCTATCTATCTATCTATCTATCTATCTATCTATCATCTATCTATCTATCATCTATACTAGAGGCCTGGTGCACTAAGTTTGTGTATGGGAGGCAGGGAGGGGTCCCTCAGCCCAACCTGCACCCTATCAAATCCGGGAGCCCTCAGGGGATGTCCTACTGATGGCTTAGGCTTGCTCTCCGTGGTTCTCTGCTGTCTGTGGGGCCAACTTGACCGCTCCTGGGTTGCTGCTGGCGATGGCCAAGCAGGCCCTGTGTCGCCACTGCAACACGGCAGGCATCCCGCCCTGCACCCGGCTGCTCAGCGCCTGAGCATGTGCGCGCTGTCTACAGGTCCGCCATCTTTGCCAGGTTAATTTACATACTTGCTCCTGATTCATTGTGGGTGCCGTGGAGGGATGGGCAATTTATATATTTGTCTATTATTAGTGTAGGTAAAAAGCCAGTGACCGTAACGCCTTAATTACCAGAGACCAGAATACTGTGACCCCTGGCCCAGGCTGACCCTGCCCCTCAGTGGGGACCCCCACCCTGATTGGAGACGTGGCCAGCCTGCAAACTGCCTGCGGCCCCTTGCCCATGCTGGCCCCACCCCCAGCCGGGACCCCCCACCCGGGTCTGGGGCCCCCATCAGGGTAGGCCAGCCAACCCCCATCTGTGCACCAGGCCTCTATCCTATATAATAAAAGGGTAATATGCAAATTGACCCTAAAGGCATAACGACCAGAACAACCACTGGACCATTCACTATGAGGCGCACTGACTACCTCTTGGTTTCTTTCCCCAGCCGGCAGGCTCCGATCACTTGATGGTGAACAGGAAACTGGGGGTGGATGGATGCGGGCGGCGCCAGGCCAAGGCCCTGCACCACTGGTTGCCCCACACACAGAGGGTGACCCGCAGCGGGGGCGGGGCCAGCAAGTGGGCAGGAACACTCTCAGTCCCTTCCCCCGGCCATCAGGCACCGATCACCCGATGACGGAAGGGGAACTGGGGGTGGGTGGCAGTGGGGGGTGGGACCAGCTGTGGGCAGCTGGGGACGATAGCCTTGATCACAGGCCAGGCCTAGGGACCATACCTGCACACGAATGTCATGTGCTGGGCCTCTAGTTAATAAAAGGAAAATACCATAATAAAGGTAGAGTAGAAAAGAACCTTAAATTTTCCTTAAATTAAGGAAAATACCATAATAAAAGGTAGAGTAGAATAACAATAAAAAACCTTTGAGAACATCTAATGAATAACCTACACGATTAGAATGTCAACATGGACATGTTCTAGTTTAACTCCTCTACGTCTGTTGGCAAACCCTCTTTCTCATTTCTGATCTGTATGAAACACATTTGAAAATCTCAAAAAAGAGAATTTTTTTTAAAAAGTAAAGAAATAATCCCAATGGCTAAAGTAGAAATAACCATGTAGAAAAAGAAAAGAATGCTTAAAATAGTAATCTCAAAAAAAAAAAAGGCATTCCTGTTAAAATGATATGAGAATCCTGACAATCATCTCTGTTATCAAAATTGTTCTTAAATTTCTTGCTAATTTAATCAAACGAAAACAAAAGGAATAGATTCAAATGATGCCCTGGACAGTGTGGATCAGTTGGTTGGGCATTATCCCATGCACCAAAAGGTTGTGGGTTTGATTCCACTGACACAGCACATGCTCAGTTTATCAGCAATCCCTGGTAGGGGGCATGAAGGAGGCAGCCAATCGATGTTTCATTGTCACATCAATGTTTCTCTCTTTCTCTAAAAATCAATAAAAGGTATTTTAAAAATATTTATAAAAAGATATTTGCAAATGTTATGACTGCAAAGCTGGAGAACCTAAGAATAACAATAACAACAAAAAAGTTGAGAGCTTATCAAGTAATTTCAGAAGCATGGCTAGATACGACAAATTAACAAACTAGTTGTAAAAAACATTTAGGAACACATTGTCATTCACAATAAGCAAAATATCAATTATCTAAAAATAACCTTAACAGAAATGCATAAAATTTATAGGAAGAATGTTACATGGCCCTATTGATATAAATAAGAATACTGATGTTATGAAATACTAATGTAGGTAGGAAGTTTTCAGGGCTAAAAATTAACAAAAATGATGAGACTTTTGACAGAACTTTTATTAATCTCCTTAATTAGTATAGTTAACAGAAAGACTGAAGATGATTTCCTAAGCTGTAAGGAAATGAAGGGCAGAGCAACAAGATAGAACAGGATTTCTTTCCATGTTAGTCATCCATCCAGTGTGTGCCGGGAAAGCAGAAATTCTGCATCAGATCTTGAGTTAAGCCAAAATTCTGCACACGTGGACCATTCCAATCAAATAGCAGCACGTAGAAGTAATCCTCACAAGGAGCTTCTCTGGCTCTGAACACATCTTCTGCCCAGCTGCGCCTTCCAAAACACAGGGGCCCGAATCCATCGAGATTGGCTCAGCTAGTGGAGTTTTCCTGAGATCCCAAATATTTATTGCTTATAGTTTCAAGTAATTATTTGGTCTGAAAAGGAGCCAAAGTTCATTTAATGTCTGTGTAATTCTAAACCCCTAAGGGACTGCAAAAGCCCATGGAGAACAGAGTTTCTACATGAAAACTAATGAGGGAGGGAGGCCCTACATGGTAGGTGAGCGAGGGGAAAGGTGGGGGAGCTGATGGGGTACCAGGGTCTGGAGAGATGGGGGGCAGCAGTGAGTAAACTGACAGGACACAACTCCAGGTGTGTCCTGGAGGACTCCGGAACCTAGCACTGTTAGCAGATCAGAAGTGAACAGTCTCTTTTCCACTTCTCTTTTGGTTTTCACCTCTGCAAATGTGGCAGCAACTGAGGCAACACTGCCCCAAGAGACAAGGGAGGGGACCTTTACCAGTTCATTAGATTTTCACAGACAGTGAACAGCTTTCTAGTTGGAGATTCCTTTTAAATATCTGGCCCAGTAGTACATTAAAAAATATATATATATTTTATTGATTTCAGAGAGTAAGAGAGAGGGAGAGGGAGATAGAGAAACACCAATGATGAGAGAGAATCATTGACAGGCTGCCTCTTGCACGCCCCACACTGGGGATTGAGCTCCTAACCTGGCATATACCCTGACTGGGAATCCAAACATAACCTCCTGGTTCACAGGTCTATGCTCAACCACTGAGCCATGCTGGCTGGTAGGTAGTACATCTTTTTTTTTTTTTTTTTTTTTTAACTTCCATTTATATTAGTGAACCTTCAAATGCATCTTAAACAAGAAATTCTGCTTCAAGATATCATTTTGCAATGTTGAGAGGTACTTTAAAAAAAGTGTCTTCAAAATTTCTAGTTCTAGCCCTGGCCAGTGTGGCTCAGTTGGTTGAATGTGGCTCCATGCATCAAAAGATCACTGGTTTGATTCCATTGGGGCACATGCCCTGGTTGTGGGCTTGATACCAGGTCAGGGTACGTGTAGGAGGCAGCTGATCAGTTTCTCTTCCATCAATGTTTTTCTATCTCCCTCTCAAAAAAAAAATAATAAAAGAATTTCTAGATCTATCTGGAACTTAGAAAAAACATCTCAGACCAGGGAATAATGATGGTTTACGGCGAGTGACCCGAGACGGGAATGTGCAGGAGGTGGCGACTGCCCTGCTGCACCTGCCTACTCCCACCCTCACACCTCCACAAAGTCCTTGCTCCTTATAAATATCTTGGCATCCTGCCCTGCCAGCGCAGTCACCTGGTGGGCCAGGCTGGAACAGTGGCAGAGGCCTTTTGTCCAGGCCTCAGCTGGGCCTCAGACATCTCCTTTCTCCATTCCCAAATTCTCTGCCTGCACAGCACCCAGCAGGTAGAGGCCGTGCATTTCCCTGAGTCCCTGACTATACTGTGGGTACCCAGTGGGATGAGAGGGACCCAGAAGACAGACCATGCCTCTATGGGAGAAGGGACAACATTGCCTTTGATCTTGTCAGAACTGTTCTATGGGATTGTACAAGGGCTAATGGAAGGTTTTGGTCCATAAAGGTCTTCAAAGATGGTGTGTACATTCTGGTCTTGTGCACATTCAGCTGGACGTAACCAAAAGTCCAAAATCAGAGAAATGGTCAGCAGTCATTACCCAGAGGTCCGGAGTCCTACCCTGGTATGCAGTTGAATACTTCAACCTGCATTTCAGTTTGACTGGTAAGTTATTAGGTAGCTTACAAATTTACTAGGAAAACAATTCCTAGGGTAAATCTTGGAAAAGATGAAGTAGCAGGAAAATGACAAAGAAATAATTCATTTATATAATCCCTAGAGAAACATTATAAAAAAAGCATCAAGTTGAAGATAATTCCACTGATAATGGACTTAAATCAAAAATGGAATTAGAGTTTTCCTGGATTTTGGATAATCTTCAAATTTCTCAAGGTACCACCTACAATAAAAAAAAAAAGGACATTAAAAAAGGAAATAATTTTGTCTCTTAAACATGTAATACATGCTAGCAAAAGGAACAATTTTTTTATTCTCAAGGCATACAGTTTTTAATAGTAATAAAAACTTTGGCATTTCAGATACATAGGTTGATTTTGTCTATATCATAGATACTTAGATATATGTGATTAGAAAGTATGAGTCACAAGAAGTGACTCATATAACCCACCCTTATATTGGCAAGAAAAACTACTGATTTGTGATAAAGATGCAGATTAGCATATGGAGGAGACATCTTTCCAGACCTAGGAAGTGTGTAGACTGGGGAAGAGAGGAACCCAGTAGGTGTATCTTAATTATTTTCTGGTGACTCTGTTAGTGTTTTCCAATCCCCAGAAGAGAGCTACTGCTTCATACCCAGAGTCTGTGGAATGGGCACCCAAGCTGGTAACTCTCAAACAGACCTGGGAAAATGCAACATGGGCTCATTCATCATTGAGCCCTGCACTCAGAACAAACAGGTCTTTTCCGTTCTGATATAAATTATGTCAACAAAGGCACACTCATTCATTTTGGGGTAATAGCTAGTTGGGAAGGGTGGAAATTAAGTAGACAGAGTAAAAATTTAAAATAATTTGACATGATGAAGAAATAGAAAAATGGAGTTTCCGTGAGCTCAAAAGAATGCTAAACAGATTAAAACTCATGATGGAAAACAATCAGTTATTTGTTAATGTGACAGCAATATATGACAACAGCAAACAAAGTGAGTGAGTGAAGTCCTATGGAATTTAGATTTTGGTGAGGTTTAGCACTGTAACCCACAAATAGAGAATTATGGAGACTACCATGTTTACTTTCAGATGCTGTTCTGTACACCCAAAAGGACATGTAATGAGAAAAGTCCTGAGGAGCTGAGCAGTGGACCTGTGTATCAATAGCCTTTCCCAGCTCAGTGATGTGCTGCAGACAAGAGTGCCTGTGGCAGATGTGGCCACAGACAACAGCAGTGCAAAGTGTGTAAAAGTGCATTATACATATATTTACTCATTAATCACTGACATTTTTTAGAGGCCTATGCAACTGTCTGAATGTGTATCCCCCAAAATTTGTACGTTAAAAAACCTAAGGTGATGGTATTAGGAGATGAAGCTTTTGGGAACTGAGACTGGAGCCACATGATAGGATTAGTGTCCTGATAAAAGGGCTCCCCCCCAAAAGCTCCTTGTTCCTTCTGCCATGTGAGGACACAGTCAGAAGGTACTGTCTGTAACCCAGAAGAGGGCCTTTGCTAGAACCTGACTGCACTGGCACCCTGATCTCAGACTTTCAGCCTCTAGAATTATGAGAAAGAAATGTTTGTTATTTATAAGGCACCCTGTTTATGGTGTTTTGTTATAGCAGCCTGAACAGACTAAGACAGCCTGTTTGGGACTTAAAACATGAACCATGGACTAGTTTCTAAGAGCTTCCCCATGAATCAGCAGCGTTGGGCACTGTGTTAGGAAAGGCAGGAGGTGAGCTCCTCTCCTAGAAACGTCCATTGAAGAGGGACACACTAGCCTAAAAAGAACAAGAATGGAAACAAAGGACAGCCTAAAATTAGAAAAAGCAGGCCAATATGCCCACACGCCTGCAGAATGTTAGAGGGCTGTGACAGCCCTGCTGTGAAGTGCTATGCAGCAGGCTAAATACTACCCACTGTCACAAAGAACCTTTATCAGAGCAGAATTTTCTCACCCAAAAAGAAATATATTAAATGAACTTCATAGAAACCATTCCATAGGAATAAAATATAACTTGTTAAATGATTAGAGAAAAACATTTCTCAATTATTTCATCACTAGGATCACAAACCCACCTCAAAAAATTATATTTAAAGATTTATGATTAAAGATATCCTATAGCCCTAGCTGGTTTGGCTCAGTGTATAGAGCATCAGCCTGTGGATGCAAGGGTCCCGGGCTTGATTCTGGTCAAGGGCACATGCCCAGGTTGTGGGCTCAGTGCCCAGTAAGGGGCATGCAGGATGCAGCCAATCAATGATTCCCTCTCATCATTAATGTTTCTATCTCTCTCTTCTTCTCCCTTCCTCTCTGAAATCAATAAAAAACTATTTTAAAAAAGTATCCTATATAATAAAGAGGTAATATGCAAATTGACCCTCACACCCCCACGAGATGGCTGCCTATGACCAGGCCGGCAGGGGGATTAGTGGGGGACGACCAAACGACTGAACAAGCAGGCTGCGTGGGGCGACCAGGCTGGCAGTGGAGGAGTGACCAGGCCGGCAGGGAGGTTAGTAAGGGATGACTAAATGACTGAACAAGCAGGCTGGGTTGGATGACCAGGCTGGTGGTGGGGGGGTGCAGTTGGGGGCAACCAGGCCGGCGGGGGGGGGGGGCAGTTAGGGATGACCAGGCTGGCAGAGGGGGGCAGTGGGGACAACCAGGCCGGCGGGGGGGGGGGCAGTTAGGGATGACCAGGCTGGCAGAGGGGGGCAGTGGGGACAACCAGGCCGGCAGGGGGGCAGTATGGGGTGACCAGGCCAGCAGTGGGGGGCAGTTAGGAGCAACCAGGCCAACAGGGAGGGGGCAGTTGGGTGCGACCTGGCCAGCAGCGGGGGGCATTTAGGGGCAACCAGGCTGGCAGGGGGGGCAGTTAGGGGCAATCAGGCCAGTAGACAGGTGAGCGATTAGGAGTCAGCAGTCCAGGATTGTGAGAGGGATGTCCGACTGCCGGACATCCCCCAAGGGGTCCCGGATTGGAGAGGGTGCAGGCTGGACTGAGGGGACTCCCCACCCCTGTGCATGAATTTCATGCACCAGCTCTCTAGTATGCATAAATATTTTTAAAAGTGGAATAAGCAGCATGATTTCTATTATATTTTTCACTCATATTTCTATCTCTAGATCAAAAAGCTCTCACTCATGTAAACAGACCAGGGTTGGATGCCAATTTTTTTGTATTGATTTTGTGGCTACGGGGCCTGAACTAATGCACCCTTGCCTTCTGGTTGAAAGTGAAATGACCTCCGGCTGAGGACTACCCACTTCATCTAATTCAGGTTATGCTAAATCTGAGGTAATTCTTCAAAGCTGTTACTGTTTTTCTGGCTCACAGTTTCATGATCCTACATTTCTCTTATGGAAGTCTTTCTCTAGCAGAGACAGGTCAGTGACAGCTGAATAAACACTTTGCAAGTGCTCACAAGTCATGCTCTTTGTATTCGAGTCTGATGAATGGGGCTGTGAGACCAAGGCAGCATTTCATCAACATACTGTGTGTCCTTATTTTGTAATTATTACACTATCAATCAGTGTCTTAAAGACACACTGAATTTACACTGAATTCACTTTTTAAGTGACATTAAACTTAACAAATGGTAAGCCTGTTATTGCAACAGAGCCCCTCCTTAAAGGCTATCCTCCCTGTCTGGGGTCCAAGGTGCAGCTTTGAGACATGACAAGTCTACATCTGTACTCTATCACCTCACAGCTGCAGAAGTGTGGGCGGCCTGTGCTCTGGTCCAGTGCGTAAGCATGATTGCCCAAGGCAGAAGGAAGGAAGCCATGTGAAAACATGCCTCCTTAAAATTCCATGAAATGTTGCTCTCAAACCAGAATATCTCTTAGCACTTGGCACAGCTGACCAGTCCGACCTAGCCCTTAATGATCAAGATAATCATTTATGAATTAAATACTTCCATTACAGACAGAAATTTGTTGTAACAAAATGATGCTTTGATGCAGGAATAGCCCTGTGGACTGTTTTCTTTTGGAATCAGTTTATCTGATGGGCTAATTAGTTGGGTTCACTGGATTACTAGGAAAAAAAACAGCTTTCATTTTGTACTCAGTTTGTAAATCCAACATTTGTAAACATACACTAAACTGAATTGATTCATTGTTCAGCAATTAAATTTGGTTTGCACCAACATTAATTTAAACATCAAACAAATGGCAAAGAGCCCTTTCAATTCATGAATCTTTGTGCAAAGGATACCTCAGAAAATGAAATTATGTATTTTTCTATTTCTGTATGTTACATATTCCAATGCTAAGAGGGATTCTCCTATTTCATTTTCATTTGAGGAGTGAGCCTGACAACTGGCCTGGCATGCTCTTGTTCAATCCTCCCCTGATCCAGTTTCTTAAAATACCAGCATAATCTTATTTGTTTTTATTATTAGAAACCAGCCAATATTCGCTTCTTAAATCCTAACATGACAAATATCTGGGAGTAGCATCTTCCCCCAGAGGTGATGGTAGTTAGAAAGGTAGAGGAGGTGGAGAGGGACGGGGGAGAGCACAGATTCCCTGTACACAGGACCTCAAGTTTGGCTGAGATTAGCTGGCTGTTGTCATCATTACTGATGCATGAATTCTAGCTGTTTTATTCATTTTCTAGGACTTTGTAATGTATATTTAGTCTAAAGTACTGACATATTATTTCAGTCAAGCCTGTTTAGAGTATGAATCCTTCTGGTTCTAAAGGAAGCATTTGAACATGATGTGGGGAAGGGTGGGGAGGAGTGCATGGAGTCCATAGTCCATCAGGAACCTAAGTGTGAATGGGCTCTGTGGGGGAGGATGCTGGGCCCTGCCTCCAGCTGCAGGCCTTCTGTGCTCTCATTACTGCACAGTCAGCATTCCTCCTTTTAATCAGCGTGTTCCAGGTCAGATCCCAAATGCCCTGCTTGACATTTAACTTGACCATCAAGTCCAGAGTCCAGCAGTGTAAATTCAGAGCCTTAGAACAGGTGGACAAAATGATAATGCTGATGTGTATCCACTGGTTTCTTATAGCTGGATTAGTCTTCAGAGATTTGCATGGTTTTGTGCTTTTTAGACACAGCATGGTATAAACTGGGATTTGGCAGTTCAAATTAATATTAACATTTCAAAAGTCTAACCTAAAAGCTGGTATAGTAAGGTCAGAGAACAAATTAAAAACGTTAAAAATGTTTTAAACTTACTGATGATGCTGTTGTGCTCTCGTGAATAAAACACAAAATGTAAACAGAGCGAAAGCCCCGCCTTGAACAGACCAGGTGGCCAGGCCATAGCCACACCATTCAACCACTTCTCCAAAGTAGTTGGCTGCACTTACGTATTCAAATAAGCCTCCTAGAAGAAAGCACAGACCCAGTGGTGCATTGACTACAAAGTGATGCCTCAGGAAATATTGACTTAAGAGATAACAGTAAATAACTACTTTGGAGAACATAAATTCAACTATGGGAAAATATATCTTTTACTGAATTTTAATCAATGAACCACTTCCAACATTACTAGTTTTACTATTTCATATCATAAATTCTGGTAGTAACTATCTACCTGTATCAATATCCGTCGTTTTAGCTGAGAAAAAAATGCTACAGTTTTCATATACTTTAATATATATCACTTCATTAATTAATGGATCAAACTGACAAAAGCTGAGCAAGAAGAGAGAATACAGAACAATTAATGAACCAGCTTAATAAAATGGATCTGTATAGAACTCTAGACTAAAAATTGAAGAAAATATTAATTTTCAAGGACAGATTCATTCATTCATTCATTCATTCACTCACTCACTCACTCAGTCACTGGTTTACTCACTCATCAAAACTTTACCGATTCATCAAGTCTACATTATGGCCAGACCCTGGTCTAGACACTTAAAGTGAACTGTGGATAAGATCCCCACCCCCCACATCTGGAACGTTAAACTTCAGTGTACTAAACAAGGAAAGCACAGTCTGGCAGAGGGTGTGGAGTTCTGTGGGGAGCAGAGCAGGGCAAGAGGGCTCAGAAGTTGAGTTGGGGGAAGAGGGAGGTCATGGTAACAGACAGTGGCTGGGAACAGGCCTCCCTGGGTAGGTGAATTTTGATCCCAGACTTCTTGGGAGGGTTGGGCTGCAGTTATTAGGGTGGAAGCCCTCTGGGGAGGAGAAGCAAAGGCTCTGGGGCCAGAGCTGCACACTCTGCAGGGCCCCAGTTGAAGTAATTTGAAATGTAGGATTTTTTTGTCATTTGTTCCTTACGTTGCTATTCTCCTTGTATAGTTTCCAGGTATGTAAGTGTGCTTTCCAGGTCCAATGAAGTTTTAGTCTTACCTACTTGATTCCTGTTTTAGAAGCTCTATTGATTTCTAATTTATATTTGCTAGTCCTTTTTATAGTGCGTGTGTGTATGTATGTGTGTGTGTGTGCGTGTGTGTATATATATATATATATATATATATATATATATATATATTTAATCATTAACTTAAATCCTTTTTTATTTTTTTAAACATTTAAGTATTCACTGTATAATCTGTTTCTATTAACTCTAAGATCTGAGGTGTCTCACGTTTAATCGTGTTGTCACTCTGGGAGCTAGATTTCTTCATTGGCTCTGTAACCTTGGAGTACGGTCTGTGGTCTGTGGGGCTCTCTGAGGCCTGAGCTGACAGCAGGTCCCTTCTGTGTGCCCTGGCCCATGTATGAGGGCATCACCCACCAGGATGACATGGATCCTGATTCATGGCTTGAGGTTTTTCAGACCCTCCAGGTGGCGGTAATGTGGGCTCCAAAGCAGCATGAGGGGAGCAATGGCCACAGATTCTGATGGGTGTACTTTGGACACTAGGACTCAGGTTTTGCCCTCTGATGATGACTTCCTTCCCTGACACCACATTCATACATTTAAAATGACTTTTTAAAAATTTCATCCAGTGAAAGCAAAGCATGGAGAAAAGAAGTACAAAGCCAATTTGAGGAGAATATGGACTAAGATAATTTGATATACAGTGGGGCCTTGACTTATGAGTGTCCCGACTAACGAGTTTTTTGAGATATGAGCCGTCTCTCAGCCGATTTTTTGCTTTGAGTTGCGAGCTAAAATTTGGGTTACGAGCCAGCTTCAGATAACCCACCACTAGTTGGCGCAGTGAACGTCACAGTGAACGCCACAACATCAGCCTAGCATCACGTGTCTCACTTGTTCACTTTTTGATTTGACATACGAGTAATGTGAGTTACGAGCTCCATCACGGAACAAATTAAACTCGTAATTCAAGGCCCCACTGTATTTAAATTGTACCAGGAAGTAGCGGAAAATAATATGAAAAAGGGTAGATAGGTTTTTATTGGTGTTGAGCATCTAGTGGTTTGGTTGACTTTTTCTTATTAATTTAATTAACCCTTTATATGTTATGAGCAATAATAATAGCTCTCAGTTAAACCAAGAAAGTAGATTTTATTTTTTTTTAATTTTTTTTTTTTTAACAATCGATGTGTCTTTTATTCACAAATAGAAGCCACGGAAAGTGAAATCTACACATTTGTACAAAGGGGTGGGTGCCCCCCGAAAAGCGCACCGTGGTCAGAAAACAGCCCGCCACAGCAGGGACGCCCCCCCCCCCCCAAGAAAGTAGATTTTATTATCTCCGTTTCATAGGTGAAGAAACTTGAGCTCTCCCCACCTCCCACCGCAAATTTCACCCAACATTTTTAATTGTTTTCAAAGGGAGGGTCAGTCAAGGTTATCTATTATGTAATATTTTTTAAAATGAAGTTTTAGACACCCTTCGTAAACCATAAATTCTTTCTCATATTCTCTCTTTCCAAACAGAGATAACTAGTGTTTCTTTTTTGGTTAATAACCATTCAGTTGGCCAGAATTTATCATTTTAATAAAACAATATTCATAGTGACTTCTATGAATAATAGTGATTAACATTAAAAACTACAGCTAATACATATTACACATTAGTTACTAGATCTGACAAAATTAGAATAGCAAGGCATCATAGAATAGCAATGCAATTTTAGAATGAATTCTCCACTTTCACTACATACCCCTTGGAATTTTGTATCCAGTCTCCCCTGGCTGCCTGAGATTCCTCAGGATGTGATCGGAGTGAATGTTTATCAGCATGCCTACCAGCCACAAGACAAAACCTGAAGGAAAAAACACACGAGAGTATTACAGTTCATAAACTACAAAATTTATAAACCAAGGCCTGAAAGGACAGTATCACTATACTTCTTTATTATCATCCTATCTAATAAAAGACAAAAGTGGTAATTAACCGTAACTCCGCTACGTTTCCCATGGGCTAATCAGCGAGATATGCAAATTAACTGCCAACAAAGATGGCGGCCGGTAGCTACGCAGCTGAAGTGAGCAGGAGGCTTGCTTGCTCCAGTGATGGAGGAAGTCAAGGTTCCCCGCCTGCTGCGACCTGCTCTAAGCTCCGAAAGCAACATCTCCAAAAGCAATAAAAGTTTCAATTATAGAAACTAAACAAACCCCAGATACCTGCTCTCAGCCAGTGACGGCAACAGAGTTTCAATTATAGAAGGTAAATAAATCCCAGAATAAAAAAAAAAGAAAAAAAGGAGAGGCTTGGAGCTTCAGTCGCAGGCCAGCCTGAAAACTGAAGGGCCCTCAGCCCTTCATCCAGACTGGCCAGGCACCCCAGTGGGGACCCCCACCCTGAAGGGGGTGTGACAAGCTGCAAACAGCCATCAGCCCCTCACCCAGGCTGGCCAGGCACCCAAGTGGGACCCCCACCCTGATCCGGGACACCCTTCAGGGCAAACCAGCAGGCCCCCACCCATACACCAGGTCTCTACCCTATATAGTAAAAGGGTAATATGCAAACTGACCCTAAGAGCAGAAAGACTGGGAATGACTGGTCACTATGACACACACTGACCACCAGGGGGCAGACGCTCAATGCAGGAGCTGCCCTCTGGTGGTCAGTGCGCTCCCACATGGGGGAGCTCTACTCAGCCACAAGCCAGGCTGATGGCTGCCAGAACAGTGGTGGTGGTGGGAGCCTCTCCTGCCTCCTCAGCAGCGCTAAGGATGTCTGACTGCAGCTTAGGTCTGCTCCCCGCTGGCAAGTGGACATCCCCCAAGGGCTGCCGGGCTGCCAGAGGGATGTCTGCTTGTCTGATTGCCATCTTAGGCCCAATCCCCCCGGGGAGCAGGCCTAAGCCAGCAGGTGGTCATCCCCCGAGGGGTCCCAGACTGCAAGAGGGCACAGGCTGGGCTGAGGGGCCCCCCTCCCCACCCCGAGTGCACAAATTTTTGTGCACCGGGCCTCTAGTTATTAGTATAACATATCAGCCATAATTGATAGTAAAAATCATAATATTGTCCTTTATTTAGAAAGATAATTACTGTTCTCAGGTATGCTCAATAGGGCTGTTTTTCTAATAAGATTAATTATCTGATCTAGTCAAAATACTTTGACATGATGGCCACAATCCATGTTTTTAGAATGACTGGTAGGATTAGAAGTATTACTGATGGTTATAACAGCTGTGTGAGGCATGGCTTCCCCCTCCATTTGGCAGAGGAGAAGACTGATATCTCAGGGTGTGCCTCATCATGATGCACACGGGTCCCCAGAGGGGTGCTGGTTTCTAGGAGCTAATCTCTGGTCCTTCTCTCTTCCTTCTTTATAACCTCATTTGAACATTTTCATGCATATACATGGCTTCCAACACTGCTGATTTCCTGCTCACTTTATCAGTCAGTATTCCTAGGTCTGCTCACCTGCCTCAGCTCCCAACAAAATCTTCCACTGCCACTGCATGCATGTGGACACTCCATAGCTTCCAGAATGCTTTCCCTCCCATTCTTAAAAGTCTTCAGAGAGCTACCCTCACTTACAGGAGACTTATTAGCATCACATCAATTAATGTCAACATAGTGTTTTATGAAAGAAATAACTTGATTTGATTCAAAAAAAAGAGTTAACTTGATTGTTCTGAGATACTTCAAAAATGTGAAAGGCAGATGTGGCTTTTATGGTGTCATTTCATTCAGTATGAAAAAAATATGTATGCTTGAAGTAACATTATGAATTACTCATCAGTCATCCTGATGGTATTAGTTTTTTGCAATTAGAACAGGGACTTTAAAGCACTCTGGTCTGTGGTAAGGGTCTCAAAATGTCCTGATTTCGCCACTGTAGGCTGCTTTCTTCCAAGCATGTTAAACTTGTGGCCCACCAACTACAAGTTTGACATGCTTGTAACAGTTCCTACCAGATTTTGTAATATAAGTCAACGGAATCCGTGAATTTATAGCTCATTTTTTTTTTTTCATTTCAGTATGTCACTGCTAGGTGATGTGGTCCCCAATTTGAGGTCCCAGAAAGTATCATGTTCTCAAAATTCCATGCTTACTTTATTCTTCTTCTAATAGACAAGCTCCCTTTGTTGTCTAGGTTAGGGTTCATCTAAGCTAAATATTTAATTCCATTTCTGGGGATCTTAAAAATTTTTGTATAAATTCTTTTAGATCAACAACTTTTACTGTTCTGGAAAATCTTCCGTTAGAATATTATCATTATTATTTGCTTATCTTTTCATGGTAAGTATCGTAAATGTAATCAATTAATTATTCATGCAATTTCTTGTTAGTCTGTTATAAAACCGAGCTCTATGAAATAAATATGATGCAAAAAGAGTAACTTAGTTTGTTTTCCTATTGTTTTTTTTTCTTTTCATTTTCGATTCCTTCTCTTCAATTGTAAAGAAGCCAAGAGATCTGTGTACAATTTATTGGTGTCTTAAGTTTTACAATGGCTTCCAAGGCATCTGCAGGTGATGTGGTCTGTCTGCAGAGCTCCTTTAAATGACATCCACAGACCAAAATGATTCTTTGTTTTGTTATTATTCATCGAAATTATTCAAATAATTCATCTAAGGAATGATTCCTGTGAGAATCACAAATAAGCATTAAAATCCTTATCTTTTAGATTAAAAACAAAAACCCTTTCCTCTTGCCCCTCCCTTGCTCCTTTTGGGAAACCAGTGTGGTGAGCAGGTTTAATCCCCTGCTCTGCTACTTACTCAATTTAGACGGTGGGCCATCTGCTTATCCCACTGGTTATCCCTTTCTTCTGTGAAAGGACCCAATTTCTACTCTTCTATAGTGTACACACAATATTGTAATTTAGTGTTTTCTGGAGGCATGGATTTGTGGAGTTAGAAAAGGATCCTGAAACACTTTTTCATCCATTCTTCCTTTGAAAGATAAAGAGGCAACTCCCTCCTATTAAGAATTCAGGTATGACTAGGGCACTGCCCTGGGAATAAAATTTTAATTCACAGAAAAAACTATGACTGAAAAATGTAAAAGTACTTTGTCAACAATAAAGTACATCAAATGTTAGTTTTCTCTATCATTACAAATTTATATAGGGAAAAAGCCAAATGACAGGAAAGGTAACTTTATGGAGCTTTAGGATAAAGGACTGTGGGGCAGCTTGAAAATTTGAGGTTTAATTTCATATCTCTTAGGAGGGGCTATAGGGGCAAGTTACATCTGAATGTGTTAGAAGTAACTGTAGGAGGTGCTCGGCTGTCTTAGATAAGATGGACAATTAGTGCCTAAGTTTCCTCAGTGTTCTGGCTGCTCAAGATGCTGAACCTTATTGCTATATTTAGTTTTGCCTTAAGAACAGATATTTGTGCCCTGGCCGGTACGGCTCAGGAGGCTGGAATGTTGTCTGGTTTGTGCACCAAACAGTGTCGGGTTCAATACTGGGTCAGGGCACATACCCAGGTTGTGGGTTTGATTCATGGGAGGCAGCCAATCTCTCACATCAATGTTTCTTTCTCTCTTTCCTTTCCTTGATCAAAAAAGCACAGGTATTTGCACTTTCAGTGTCTGAGTGGGCACAGGTGCTGCACACCTGCATCATCTCCTGGCTTCTGGGACACTAGGATAGCCTGATTCTGCCCCTCACCCCCGCCGGGCAGCTAGGTCATGAACCATTTCAGACTTTTTGCTCTCTCAAGAAGTGTGGGCTTTCTCACTGCAAACAACTGGAACATGAACATTGAAGTGATGACTGACATGGTGGAGTGCATCACTAAGGTCACTCACCTGTTAGGAATCGGGGGTCAGTGACCCAGTCAACAGCATACACTGCATATTCGCTTAAGTATCTGCTTTGTAAGTAGCCATTATAGGTACAGAATATGAATGCAATTACACATGAGTACAATGGTGTAGGCTTCCCTCCTCGGATCAGAAATGGGAAAATCAAGGACCTGAGAAAACAAGAAACAGAAACAAGTTAAAAAGAACAATATAGTATTTCTACAATTCTATTTTAAGTGTCTTGGGGTTTCAATCTCACTTCCTTGTACAAAAATTATTCTCATAACACATACTGATTTACTCTATCTGTTAAAGGCACAACTTATAGATAAAAAATTAACCGTCTTTCAATAATGTACACCATAGTGCACAAACTCAGGATTCTCATTATAAAGAAAGTGAAACCAATACAGAGTTACAGAAAACAAGGGTTTCAAGAGGCTCTCAAAACCTCCACTATCTGAAAACCCATAGCTCTTTCTAGTCTGAGCACTTTATCACCCATCACCATCACCATCACAAATGGCTCGCTCTCATTTACTAAGCACCATCAGCTATAAGGCCTCCCAGCTACCTGCATAGCAGAGACTTTATACACATTCCACAGAAGATGAGATCAAGACTTGGAGTGATTAAATAATCTGTTCCAGATCACAGGGCTAGTGACTGGCCAAGCGTGTCAATCTGGGTAATTCAAAGATCGTGTTTTTCTGTTATACCATGCTGGCTTAGGTGCATTCTAAGTTTAAAGAGAGAGAGAGAATAAGGACAAGAAATTACAAACTTATGAAGAAAAGAGGATGCATGTTTCAAAATTATAGATGAATGAAGTGTTAAAGTAGCGACTCTGAGGAAACATTCTGCAAAGGGGGTAGTGTTTCCCTCCAGGACGTGAGAATCATGTACAGGGCGGCTAACGTTTGATAGTTCTCCCAATTCAGTTTCCAGTGCAGGGCTGAATTCTGAATGCAGCAAACACTGGCTGGCACCTTGTAAAGGTGAAACCCAAACCTCTGTTTTTCCCTCACACCCCTTTCCTACTCTGTCACTCATGTCCTGTGCTGCGTAGTAACCTGAGTCTAGATTTGGTGTCAGCACTACCACCTGTTTTTGTACAGCCTGTGAGCTAAGAATGACTTTTACATTTTTAAGTAGTAGGGAGAAAAATCAAAAGAATATTTTATGACACATGAAATTCAAGTTTCAGTGTCCGTAAATAAAGTGGTATTGGAACAGGCCTGGTCACCTGTTTACATACTTTCTGTGGCTGCTCTGCAGTTACACTCGCAGACTTGAGTGGCTGTGACAGAGCCTGTTTCAACCCTCTGCATGGCTGCTTGGTGCACTGTAAATTACCATGACACAGTGTTTCGAGTGCTACGGGTATCCTTGTTTGACACATTTATTTTAGTATCAGTGATATCCTTGCCAAGACAAGTGAAGTGTTCATGCTTTGAAGGCACAGTCGAATGCGGCGGATATTACTAGAGGTAGCGAAGCAATCTTTGTTATGCAATGATATGCCAGTTTTGCCAAAAGCATAGAGGTTGGCACTACCAGACTACCCGCTCATCAGAGTATCCCCAACTCACAGGAAAGATCAGAAAAATGAAGAAAATTTAAAACAGAATCTCATCACAGAATTTCTTTACAAAAGAAATGAAAATGAGGCCAGCCGAAGCCGGTTTGGCTCAGTGGATAGAGCGTCGGCCTGCGGACTGAGGGGTCCCAGGTTCGATTCCGGTCAAGGGCATGTACCTGGGTTGCGGGCGCATCCCCGGTGGGAGATGTGCGGGAGGCGGCTGATCGATGTTTCTCTCTCATTGATGTTTCTAGCTCTCTATCCCTCTCCCTTCCTCTCTGTAAAAAATCAATAAAATATATTTAAAAAAAAAAAAAAAAAAAAAAGAAAATGAGGCCACAACCACAGGAAGTTCAAGTTAGGCAAGCAAGCAAAGCCATGCCCCCATGGGGAATTAATCAGCTGCAGCTGCAGCAGCAGCAGCCAAAGGAACGTGCCAGACAATACAAACTTGCAGGACTAGCCTTTCCTTGAGAGCAGCTGCTTGAGGAGTCGGGACGCCAGGAGCAATGCCAATAGTCGAATAAAAAACAAGGCACAAGATCGAGTGAGCGGTCTTCCTTGGCTCTTGTTGGGTCCATCGATGTCACTGATACTGCTCAGTTGTTTCTTTTTTTCTTTTTTTTAAAATTTTTTAAATTAAATCTTCAGTTGTTTATTTAAGGAATCAATGCCAAGGTTGACCTGACTGAGGAACAAGGCTCTTAAAATAGTCTGCGTGGAACAATTGGAAATAAGAGTATTTCCAAAGAAGTTGAGAAAACATGAATTCTATACAACCCAAAGTAGAATATACTGTTACAGCTGATGATAGTAAAAATGTGTGGAACAGAAAAATGGACCCATTACAAATTTATAAAACTTGTGAAGATGTGTTTAATGCTACTCCCTGTATCATTAGGTACTTTCCAGAACAATCTATGTCATGTGATTGAACCAATAGGGTCAACAGAGAATTTTACATTCTCTTCAGGGTTTATACAGAAAAATTGCCCTCACTATTATTGAGTTTTGAAGGGCTTTGGAAATTAGCTTTTGCTGCAGATCTGATAATGTTTCTTAGTGAATTCAACGCTAAACTATAAGACAAACAATCACTTAAGTGCAAAACTTACACTGTGTTAAAGGCATTTCAATGCTACTTGACATTGTTTGAATGGCAAGTCATGTCAAACTGCTTTATATACTTTTTATGCTGTTAAAGTTAAAAGAAGAGTGATGTCTCCATTCTTACAGAAACTTGCAGTCGATATAATTTCTAGAATCAAACTAGCTTTTAGAACCTTGATTTCTATATTTCAAAAATCATTTAATTGTGTAATTGAGGAGTTGTCACCTAATATTCAATTGGAAAATACTAATCTACAAAGTAATGACACACTAAAAGGCAAATACCGAGAAAATCTAATAGAATTTGATAAATGGCTCTCAAGGAATGAACATGCTCAATTAAAATCATAAACTCATGGACTGATATAAATATTTGGCAATGTCTCTGTGGAAAGACATTCTCTAAGATAAAATTTCACTGCAGATCAGCACTAAGAGGTGAACACTTACAACAGACTTTGGGAAGAGGAAATACCAACGCTGAAGCCCAAGGATGTGAAATGTCATCACCCACCAAAGGAATAATTCCATCCTTCTCATTACAGCTGCATGACAAAAACTGCACTGAGATATTGTTATATTTTAAATTGTGTCAATAAAATTTCTGTGAAAATTTGTTTTCTCCTCTGTTATAAATGCCTACACAATATCCCCTATTTTGTCTGTTGGCCCACAAAGTTTCAATATACACTATTTGGCCCCTTTCTAAAAAAAAAGTTGTCAATCCTTAGTCTAGATCAGTGGTCCTCAAACTTTTTAAACAGGGGGCCAGTTCACTGTCCCTCAGACCGTTGGAGGGCCGGACTATAGTTTAAAAAAAAAACAACTATGAACAAATTCCTATGCACACTGCATATACCTTATTTTGAAGTAAAAAAACCAAAACGGGAACAAATACAATATTTGTATTTGCATGTGGCCCGTGGGCCGTAGTTTGAGAACCCCTGGTCTAGATTAACACATTGCGGACCAATAGTTTTATTGCTAGCTTTACCCAGTGGCCAGATAAGTTTCTATTGAATGAGTACAAAAAACGTTTTACATAAATATTAAAGGCATGCTTTAAAATTAAATAACCATTGCATTTTGAAGTTATTTATTACATGTTTTTACAAGCTAATATCCTTTTAAAATATGATCTTTGTAAAACACTGTATAATATGAAGCGAGAATTCTCATGATCTGTCCACAATGTGTTAAAACAGCTATAGTCTGGAAACATCACTTAGACTTCCTTAGAAAAATGTTCTTGCTCAAGACCCCGCACTTGGGTTTCATGCAGATGCTGCAGTCTGGGACATCTGTGCTTGAGGTGGAGACCATGCATCTATGTCCTCAGTTATGCAGAGTCACACTGACTTCTGCCTCAGCATGTGCCCTGGGGAACTTGGAAGACATTCATGAAGGACCCTGGTAGAAGAATTACTTCTCTTTGGTCTCATGTGAATGTCAGAAAAGTGGCCATGGCCCAAAATGGCCTTAAAAAGTAACACACACACACACACACACACGCACACACAAGAATGACACAGGTCTATTCTATTGCTCTCTAATTTCTGCCCTTGAAGAGGACAGCAGTGACCCTGATGCCACAGCCAGCGTCAGGAGAAGAGGCAGGCTCGGGCAATGATGCCTATGCCTTCAGAACTCCAGGAGGGAGAGAAGGTCCTCCTCTCCATCCTGTCCTTCCCCCAGCCTGAGCATCCTCACGTGGACAAGTACTCCTGGCTCTGAAGACACAAGAGCCCGGTCTTTAGTAGCCAGACTTCTAGATGCAGGACACCTTCCAGAAGGGAACACTCTGCTTCCTCTCAGCAGTTTTCAGACTTTCTCCTTTTATGTTATTCCTTTAGCTTTACTTTTCTTTGGAAACCCATGCAGTTGTTGTCAGAAAGTTTTCCTCTGACTTAGACCAATTAGGAGCCAGAATGGGTGGAGAGAGTGGCTTCCAGGCATGGCTTTTATCTGACCTTTCATCTAGTTAGACAGCAGCAGTTCAAGGATCCAAGTGGCCCCTGGGCAGTTTCTCACAGTGAAGAGTCTACTTAGGGACCGGAGTCAGGCTGAGATAGTAAAAAAGGCAGCACACCTGCTACCAGAGGTTCTCAACCTGTGGGTCGCGACCCCTTTGGCGGTCGAACGACCCTTTCACAGGGGTCGCCTAAGACCATCCTGCATATCAGATATTTACATTACGATTCATAACAGTAGCAACATTACAGTTATGAAGTAGCAACGAAAATAATTTTATGGTTGGGTCACAACATGAGGAACTGTATTTAAAGGGCCAGAAGGTGGAGAACCATTGTCAGACTGACATAACTTAGCACCTGTCAAGACCCAGGGTCCAAGGTCCATAGTGCCTGTTACAGCAGGTCTGGGTATTCAAAAGCCTTTTCTCATCTAAGAACTGCAGGGAATGAGCTTTCCTCCTCTTTGAGAAAAGGAATTAAGTCAGACTGAAGTTGAAAATCCTTTACAATGGAAATTATCTTTCAGAGTAACTATGAAGTACTTGGACTTAAAGGTAGTTTATTTAGGTAATGTGTTATATAAATCCATTTTCTGTTGATAATGAGCTGAAGGCTCACAACAGCCAGGTTCCATGGAGCTACAAAGCATTTCAATTTTCTCACTCATCAGGTTGGCTGTGGACAGAAATCAGCATTTGTTCTCCATCATGTTACAATTTTTCCATTTTACTTTCTGTTCCATGAAAGCAAATTGTTTTATTACCAAATTGTTTTAATTACTTGTGGAAATTTGCACATTTTTGTGTCTGCAAGGCAACAAGGAATGTGGGACACATCTGATGATGGGGATCTGCTGAGCACAGACCTAGGGTGTCTGTCAGGAAGAAGAGACCCTGTGGGTATATGAAAGTCTGCAATCTGGGGGCCATTCAATACTCTCCCCCTGTGGATCCCAACCTGTCATAGCAAAATAGTGACACCACATGCTTGAGTGGGACTTCCTTGTTGTCATGGATTAAAATGTTCCCACAGATGACCTTTGCCACCTATTAGGAAAGAGATCAGGTCCCTGGCACATTCCTTCCCACAGCTGTTCCCTCTTCCCATTCCAGACAAGACTTTCCTTCCCTCCCTGGCTCTTCAGCCAAAAAGATCTCCCAGATTCTCTACAATCTGTCTTCCATTCCTTAACCCCTTGAGTGCTGGGTAGCGGGATTGTGCTCCTCCTGTCTTTCGCCAAAAGTGCCAGAGAGCGCTATCAAAGCTTTGAAATGGCGTCCAGTTCTAAGTCTGCTTTTATTAGTGATGATGATATTGCTAAATATGTCAAAGTAGTAAAGGTTTCCTTAAGTTTTTGAATATGTAACTTCATTTACTTGCGATTCATAATTTTTTTCCTAAACCTCTGCAAAATCAGCAAAAATGCCTTGGCAATTTTAGCATAGTTCCTAGGATATTGGTTGGCACTCAAAGGGTTAAGGGCCTATCTTGTCTCTATATCCCCAATAATGTGTACAGTGACGGATACACAGCTCAATCCTCAGTAAATATTTGCCAGATGAAGAAAAATGCCCAAGTTTCCCCTCTCCTGTAAGCAAATACCCTTTCCCATTTACCTTAGGGAACCCCTCCATCTGGCTTCAGTTCTCCCCACCCCCTTGAGAGGCTAAAACTCACCTAGAACAGGGCCTAGCCTCCCTGCTCAGAGCTCACACTGGGCCCCCACAGACAGCTGCCCTCTGTAAGTTGCTACCACTTGGGCTTGGTCAGTCTCTCTCTGGAGCACATCCCGATTAATGCTTCTCTTGCCATTGGCCAGACTCTGGCTTCATTCATACAATCTCCTCTCTTATTTAGGCCAGTATCACTTGCATTGCTCTGTGCAAATGAGGAACTCCATTAAGTGTTTCCGAGCTCGGCTGCATGGCTTGTAACAAGTGCTAAATGCAGCTGGTGCTTCTGTTCTCTTCCAAGTGCTCACTGACTTAGGTCAGATGACTGTTTAATAAATTAGTTGCTTGGGTAGAATGGAAAATGTTTATCTTTTCTATTTGGAAAAATTCAATGTCCCGAAACCACACAGGCTATGTGTAAAGTGACATTGTACAACTTAGATTAGGGAGGCGGCTGAATTAGGGAAGGGGATTTCAAAACTATACCTGACCTGGCAAATCCTCAGGGCAGAGTTTCTACAGCTACTAGTCTAGGCACCAGGGGTTGCAGTCCCAGCAATCTCTAGTCCAATGGCCTTACATAAAATTCTAGAAACGATGTCGGCCTTTTGGGAGGCTGCATTCATTACTTTCCTAGAGTGAGCATAGAATGTATTAAACATCATAACTTAAGTTCAAAAGCTTAGCCAGGCTTTCAAACAAAGCTCTGTAAAGTGCGCTCTTCTTTTCCAATGCCATGTCTTCAAAAATTTTTTATTGGCACTCAAAGCTGGCAGCAGCATACATGAAAGACACACAGAAATATAGGCATGGATCTGCCCACTTGCATGACAATCTAAAATGGTATTATTTATTATGTATTCAGCATTCAGATTTGCCAACACTATGAAAGCATTTTATGGAGCTGCCTTTGTTTAATGCCAATCCCACAGGCTGGCATCATCACTGTGTCTGTTTCATAGATGGGGAAACTCACTGGAAAGCAATTTAGTAATTCATCTCGGGTCCCAAGTGAAGGGAATTAGATAACATCTGGCAAACTGACTCCAGAGACTTCTTTTAGCCACTAGAGAAACGGACATATGGACAAACACAGGTCTGGTATATGTATGGCAAAGTGTATATAGACACGAGAGTTCTACTGATATTCAAATTGCATCCACAAATTTGGTAATGTTCAACCACATTATAAAAAAATCCAGCAGTCTGACAGAAACTTTGTTTAATGAAATACTCTTGGAGTGTTGGGGTACAGCACTCAGACAGGCTTTGTTGAATATGAACTCTGCCTGCATAAAAGCAGATGACAACACACTGCACCAGGCAGGACTCCTGTGTCCTTATAACCATACAGAAGAGAAGTTCCTAGGTAGACACACACAGAGATACAAGCATGCTTACTTCCTCTTACCTCTACGCAGTGGGTGTTGTAAGGTAGGACTCCAAATCAGAGAGGTTCAATAACCTGCCCACATTCACAGAATAAGGGAGCCCAGCTTTCTTGATGTAGAAAACACTATTTTTAACTGTGCAGCCTTCTGAAGTCTGAATCAAAATTTTTAAATTTTGATTTCCAGCTTTTGTTCCGCCTTTTGGTTTCGCTGTGTAAAAGCCAAAGCCTAAGAGCTGGAGAGCCCAGCTTATCAGAAGAACCTGAAGATCTCTCAGACACAGCCATTAAAATTCTTCACAAAAACCAAGATTTGGAAGTCCTCTATCTGTGTCTAAAGTCATTTCTTGGAAAGCTACTCCCCCTATCCTTGGTCCTGTGCATAATGTGGAGGTGAAAGTCTCAGAAGGGACCAATTTCTGCCCGAGTACTATACAGGGGATTTACAAAGTCCTTCAGGAAAGCAGCTTTCCAGGCAATCACCTACCCAGGAGAAAACAGCCCCACTGACAAGGATACCAAATGGAAAAGGCAGAAAAGGAGCCAGAAACGTTGCTGGGGGGGGGGGGGGGCGGGGGGAGAGGAGGGGGTCACCTTTGGCCAGACGCTCTGGTCTTCAATAAAGCCCAGGATTATTGTATAGCTAACACTTTTCTAGGTTGAAATTTTACAAACAAGTGTTAATGTAAGACACATTCAAACCTGTCAAGAATTTTTGTGAGTTTATTTGAGCCCAACGGATTGTGATAATGTTCCAGAGAAATGGCAGTTTTTCACCTTGCTTTTATACACGACCACCAAAGGAGGAGATGTAAGTGGGTTACGTGAAATCCACTGGTCATAGATTAGGGAGGCGCGTGAAAGGGGATTGGACAAGTGAAATGACAGACACATGCTTCTTTCACACAGGTGGGTCACAGGACAGTGAAGCCAAGAATTAACTGGATAACAACAATGAGGAACTTTGTGGTCTCTGTCCCTCCCGGTGCATTAGCTGTGCCCAGCAGGGTCTCGATAAAGGGAAGTGACCTGGACGCTCCAAAGGCATGTCATGATAGATGCAAAAAGACAGTACGCTAGTTAAGGTTAAAGTTGGTCTTTGTTGGGGAAGATACCAGCCTAGGGCTGCTTTTAAAGTTTTAATTTCAGGCCATCCTTTGTGGTTACTGTAGGTCTCTGAGTTTGCAGGACCTCCACCTAGGCCTTCCCTGAGCTGGTCAGGTTAGCATGTGGCCCCTTTTCATCCACACAAGTCTCTTTTAATGCCCCCCCCCCCTTAAAGTCCTTTCTAATGTTTCACCCACTTTTCCAGACTAATATTTCTAAGCTAACTCCCTGTGCCAGGCACAGAAGTGGGGCCAAGAGGTGTAGGGAGAGGACACCGGGCACTGGGGAGTGGGGGTCCCTGAGGGAGGGGTCTACAGGGGGAGGGAGGGTGCCTGGGGGCTGGTGGGAGCCCAGTGTGTTGGCGCCAAGGACGATTGGGGAGGAGGGACAGGTAAGAATGGAGGGGACTGTCTCAGAGGGAGCCTGGGGCACACACAAGGAAAGAGCAGCAAACTCGGGTGGGGGTGTGTGTGTGTGTGTGTGTGTGCGCGCAGAAACAGGCGGAGGGAGCCGGCTGGGGGGGCCCGGGACAGGGGGAGGAAGGCGGGCCAGGGGCTCAGGAAAAAAGGAGAGCCGGGCCCAAGTAGAGGGAACCGGGTCGGGGGCGCAGGGAAGGGCGCGGGACCGCGGGCCGTTACCGTTGTATGTAGTGGACGAGGAACATGGCCAGGAGGACGCGGTTGGGCCAGTGGCGGAGGCGCTCGGCAGCCGTGCAGAAGCACACGAAGAGCGGCACGACCAACGAGGGCAGCTCCTGCACCAACCAGGCGGTAGGCGCCGCCAGCCGCCAGGCCGAGCGCTGGGACGCGTAGCGCCCATAGGGCGAGCCCACCAGCGTGAGCAGCACGAAGGCCACGAAGCCAAAGGCGCACTCAAAGTAGGCGAGCGCGTCGAGCAGGAACCGCTCCGCCAGCTCCATCACGGAGGACGGCAGGCTCGCTCCATTGCTGGGCGACCGTGGCGGGCCACATATAGGCGGTGGCAGGGCGGTGAGTGGTTGGGAGGCGCGGTTACCTGAGGCTGGGGTGGGCCGCCGCGCCCGGGACGCCAGCCGCTCTTCCCGGGCAGGTTTGAGGCGGCGGGGTGCGACCCTGGGGCCAGTCCCACCAGTCCCCCGCGCGCGCGGTGCGCCGGGGGCGGGGCGGGAGGCGGGCCTGCAGGCTTTCCCGCCCCGCCCACGCGACGGAACCCCGCCTCCGGGGCGCCACGCTCTCGCCGCTCTGCGCATGCGCGATCTTGGGCTGTCCGCGGAGCTGCCTGAGGCAACGCGGAGAACCTTAGCCCCCGACTCAGAGACTCTCTGGGGCTGCTCTCTTTTGCCACTGTCACACTCAGGCTGACAACGGATCCCTTCGCTCGTTGTTTTCTGAGCGTAGGGGTCGCAGTGCTTATCACTTGCGTCTTGAAGCTTCCTGCAGGCCCGGGAGAGGCGGAGCGCACCTGCGGGGGCCTTGAGCTGCAACCCGGAAGTACGCGCTGCCGACAGTGGCGGGTCGGTGGGTGCGGGCAGCGTGCGCGACCGCGTGGGCCATGGGGCGGCGGGCGCGGTGCAGGCGGCTCCAGCAGCAGCAGCAGCAACGGCGGCCCGAGGGAACGGAGGACGGCGCCGAGGGCGCCGGAAAGCGCCATGACGCGGTAGGAGCCGGGGCCAGGCGGGCCGCGCCCACGTGGGCCTCCCAGACCCCGAGACCTGTGGGGCGGCTCCCCGAAGCCTGAGTAATTCCCCCTTTTTTTCCTCTCAGGGCTGGGAAGGCGGGTACCCCGAGATCGTCAAGGAGAACAAGCTCTTCGAGCACTACTACCAGGAGCTCAAGATCGTACCAGAGGGCGAGTGGGACCAGTTCATGGAAGCGCTCAGGGAGCCCCTCCCGGCCACCTTAAGAATTACTGGTTACAAGAGGTAAAAGGGGCCGTGCATTTATTTCTTCAAGGGTTGGGATGCCTAAGGTTGAATTTTAAAAACGGGTGTTTTCCTGAGAAGAGTTAAAGGGCTGGATAACCGCTGCAAGTCAGCGGTGTGGATCCTAGAGTCTTGAAGCGTGGAGGAGGGAGCGCAGGGTCCAGTGGGGTCGGTCAAGGAGGCCAGGAGGCCTGTGAGGTGGGAGGCTGGAATAGGAAATGAAAAAGCAAACAGAGAAAGGGTGGACCCCTGGGGGTTCGTGAGCCAAGGACACTTACCCTTTGGAACTCATGAAAATTTCTGACATTATCGAGTTTGGATAAAGCTTCTGTCTCTCTCATCCATCCATCCACCTATCCACCTATCTATCTATCTATCTATCTATCTATCTATCCATCTATCTATCTATCTGTCTATCTATCCATCCTAGAGGACCAGTGCACGAAATTTGTGAATTTCTGAATAAGGGGCATTAGTACCCACACATATATCAACCGTGTATATATCCATGCATAAATCTACACATATAACCATGTATACATATGTGATGCTCAACTTGGAAATAAACCTTAACAGAGAATTTTAAAAAACAAGCTGATAGGTTTCCATGGGTACTAGTTATCATATGTTATTTTGGTGACAACTACTTTAATGTGGAACAAGACTTTGTGAATCAACAAATATAACACATTTTTAAATGTATGTAGAAATCCTCTTGATTCCTCAGCATGATGTTAGATAAATGAATTTGTCAGAAAATTATCAATATATACTGTGTACCAATATTATTTATTTGCCTTCTTCTAAAGTCATATGGATATTGTATTATGAAAGCCAGATAAACCAAACCTCTGTCTTTAAGTTACCTCATTCTCTAGGGCTTTCTCTGTAAATAGCAAATTTTAAATGAATAGTCTCAGTCCCAACCCTTAAATAGAAAAACACAAACAAAAATCTAAAGAAGTGGTTTGTTTAAGCCCTTGTGCATTATGAAGAGAGTTTGTTCTTTTGCAAGCTACATTCGGAGCCACACAGAAGTAGGAAACTGGGATAGTGTTGGATTCTGGTTTTATGTATAGCTAAAATCATTGTATCGCCTCAACTAGTATCTCAACTGTAGGTGTTTTGTCAATAATGATACCAAAACAGACTGCGTTGCGGTTTTGTAAATAAACTATTGTCCTGAGGAAAAAAAAAAAAATTCGTGCACTGGGGCAGAGAGCAATTCCTCAGCCCAGCATGCGCCCTCTCGCAGTCCAGGAGCCCTCGAGGGATGTCTGACTGCCAGCTTAGGCCCGCTCCTGGGGGACATCCTTAGTGCTGCTGTGGAGGCCGGAGAGGCTTTTGATACCGCAGCTCTGCTTGCCAGCTGTGAGCCTGGCTCAGGGCTTCTGGCTGAGCCAAGCCCCCTGTAGGAGTGCACTGACCACTAGGGGGCAGCTCCTGTGTTGAGCGTCTGCCCCTGGTGGTCAGTGCATAGCCACCAGTCATTCCGCTGTTCAGTTGCTTTGCATATTAGCCTTTTATTATATAGGATACATAGGGTGTTGTCCCCCCTAAAGGTGTATATGCACATGTTGAAAATGAAATTATTTTAATAAACACTGCCTTTATAATTACTCAAAGTGTATACATTTTTTGTAGTTAATATCCTTCCAAGATGAGTTGCAAGCAAAAATGGAACTGTAGGAATATTTAGGAGGGAAGGAATGCAGTAGTAGTGTATTTAGTTTGTCATCCTTTAGTGATTAAACAGTGAGTGTTGTTTAACTTTGAAGGAATAAAGAGGCAGCGATAAAAGAATGTCTTCTCTCCATGCAAAGGTGGTTTTAGCCTTTCAGGTTGGTTTGAAACTTGCTTTTTTTTTTTTTTTATTTTAATAGCCATGCAAAAGAGATTCTACATTGCTTAAAGAACAAGTATTTCAAGGAATTGGAGGACCTGGAGGTGGATGGTCAGAAAGTTGAAGTTCCACAACCCCTGAGTTGGTAGGTACAACAAGGCTCCATGCTGTTGCATGTGTGTTTGGGATTTTAATCTTTGTCACTTGAATATATGTCTTGGTTATGCATTTGCTCTTAGCACAAAAGAACTTGAACATACATCTGAGATATCCTCATGTTTTTCACCCAATGCTTTTTATCGTTATTACTTTACACCCGTGTGCATGTTTTCATGTATGATTTGCAGCTGTCTGTATTTGAGTCATTGAGTTCAGTTAATTTTTTTCCAGTCAATCCAACCCCTTTGCTTTTGTGACATTACCACTTCTACCATTTCCATTTAAGCTCCTTGTTTTCTCATGTCAAACTGTTGCTGAGTGTTTACTTTCAGAAAAATGACAGCCTTAACCTGGCAAAGGTGCACAAGACTGCTCCAGCTGACTGTCTTACTGTCTCTGGTGCCCCGGCATGCTCCTGATCTTTGTGCTAACCTTTTTTTTTCTTTGCCCTGTTCTGTAGGTTACTTATTTCTCATGGCCCATGTCAAGCCTGAGCTGTCTGAAGACATCTCTTGTGTCGACAGCATAGTCTGTCTTGTAAAATGCCTGGCATCAAGTCCTGGGGAGTCATTAAATTGTTATAGTTCCACATTTCATATTATCAACTTTGAGGTGTTGAAGATTCTTACAAAATAAGTGTGTGTGTGTATTTAGATATTTAAATAATTGCTGTAAAACCGTGAATTTAACCAGCATTTTCTGATAACTTTTGGAGGTTTTGACTATTCAAGTGTATGATATTATCTTTCTTTTTTACATATCCTTTAGTGATTGTAAACCAGGGTCAGGTTTTCATTAATCATGGGCTGTAGATTTGCTTGCTTTTCTTTCTTTCATTGGCCATTTGGATTTTTAGTGTCCATATCACAGATGTGTGCAGGGTACACATTTTGAATGAATGACAAATGCCAATGCTAAAATCAGTATTCAGCTGAAGTTCTCTGTGGTTGAAGAATAGAAGTGAATCACTGTCTAATAATGGCCAGTCATTCTCTTCATGTTATTGTTTTCATTTTCTGAACACAACTGAAGCATGTGAACAACATATTATATGATTTGGGTTTCCAATACTTAGGTTTTGTTTGTTTTTCCTCCTCATTATCAGTGATAACTGCATGGCAGTTTTATTGTATTAACATTTACTCAATCAAATTCACTTATCAGGTGTGGACTACCCATACATCTCTCAGCAAGCAAGTAAAGCAGACACCAAGATGCCTGATGGTTTTCTGTATTGCTCAAAATGCAGAAATATATAATACTAGAGGCCCAGTGCACGAAAATTTGTGCACTGTGGTGGGGATGGGGCGGGTCCCTCAGCCACAGGGAACAGGCCTAAGCCGCAGTCTGGCCTCCCTCTGCGGGAGGCGACCAGGGTGATCAGGGAAAGGCGCCGCCCCCATCACCCTGCTGCTGCTGCCTGAGCCCATGGCTGCCTGAGCCCTGGGCCTCGCAGCCGCTATGGCTTTGTCCAGATGGACATCCAGAAGACATCCACTCTAATTAGCATATTACCCTTTAATTAGTATAGATTCTTCTTAACCTTTTGGTACATAATGAAATAAAATTTAGGAAAGTTTGTGGGAACTCTGTTTTCTGGATATTTTTTTTCCCTTTACTATTCATAGACTCAGAAATATAGTAAATAAAATTGTAATCAAATGCTTGTCAAACATTCTGACACTTGCTCTACCACATTTTGATTGTGTGATCTGTACTTCTTTAAATTTAAGAAATTTGTTATCTTATGTGTTTTTTATTTTTCTGATGACCTTTATGCCATTGTTAACTTACCATACATAGTGAAGAACAGAGGATTCTGCACTTTTTTTTTTTATCAGATCCTAAACATTTATCATCATGGTTTTACTGTGATGGCAGTGTGTGTCTCCTGTGACCCCCTAGGCTCTTCTGTTTCTGCCTGGGCTATGGTACTTTTAGAACCATGCTCCTGTGTCCCAGGGGACATCATGCAGTGTTGGCTGACTGTACTGGAGTGGATCATGGATGAGCAAGCAGAACAAAATTGGGTGTCTCGTTGCCATATGACCTGGATAAGCAAGAAGTCATTAAGAGAGCACTTTAATATATACGGTCCATAAACATTTTACTTCCTTTTTGGTCAGGTATCCTGAAGAACTTGCCTGGCACACAAATTTGAGTCGAAAAATTTTGAGAAAGTCTCCACAATTGGAAAAGTTTCACCAATTTCTGGTTAGCGAAACCGAATCTGTGAGTAGAGCTCTTTAGACTTGTTGGCTTCCTTAAAGTTAAATGCATATTAGTGTCATTTTTAGCCCTATTTGTCAGTGGGAGTGATCAAGTAGGTAAAGTATGCAGG